GGTGTGGGGGGGGCCGCTCCCCACTTCCAGGCCAGCGCCTCGTCACTGCATCCTCCGGGGGAGCAAAGGCCGTGCTCTGACATGGTGGGGGGGGGGCAGAAGGAAAACAATCCACTCTCTAGAGCCCTTCTAAGGCCCTAGACTCCCCCATGACGACCACCGTCATGGTGAGTCACCTCCTGACGGCCACCTCTTAGTACGCTCACGGTGCAGAAAATGTCACAGCCCTGGACGTGAACGCTGGGGACAAGTTGAGAACACGGGAGAGGAAGGGGTGAGCGCCGGCCCTGGGCAGGTCTGTCAGCTCCCTGGGGAGGGCATTCACGGGAGAGAGCCCCGAGCCCCACGTCGCACAGGCTGAGCAGCTCTCCCTGGGGCGCGCACCGCAGTGACTAGTAACCGCACCTGGTGTGAGCGGCTCCCGTCGGGCCGCACCTCCCACCGGGGCAGGGTCTGCCCCACACAGTGCCCGATACGCAGGTCTGAGAGGTGAGGGCAGGAGGAAAGGGAACGGGGAGGGCCAGCAAGCTGGCCTCATAGTTGGCATCGTAGCTAAGGCAGCTGGATCTCACATGGCCAACTGTGAGGCTCGAGTCCTGGACCCGGCAGCTTAACGGACACACGTAGAGGACACGCCAGTGTCTTTGGAAAGTTCCAAAAGAGAATGGAGGAGAGATGGCGGCGCGGTCATCACCCCTGTGGTGTGCTTTCTCACTTTCCCCCTCTGTCTCTGGCGAGCACCCTACAACTGAGGGGGGACAAGGGAAGGGGAAGGGAGGGAGGCAGTCCGTGGTGAGGTATGAGGCCGCTGTGGTCCAGGTGACCTCCACCATTAAACCAGGAGTGCTCTCATGGTTCCACTTGGGATACCGAGTGACCGCGACCAGGCCGCAGGGAGACGGGGCTGCCCGCGCTGTGCAGGCTGTCTCGGGGCAGTGTCAGGGCTGGCATCCCACTGGGGAGGGCCAGGAGGGCAGCCTGTGTGTGGGCACGGACAGTGTGAGACTGGGGATACCCAGGAGGGTCGGCCAAGGGCTGGGACCTGCCCCCATCAGGTGCGAGTGTGGCCGGGAGCACAAGCCAGCAGCACCTGAGCCGCTCGGCACTGGCAGGCACAGGGACACCCGCTGCAGCTCAGGCGACGGTAAAGGAGCCTAGGAAACACGTGGGCCTTATTTGTCAGCCAGACGGGCATTGCTCTGCATCGGGAGGTCTCTCAGTCCTTACGCCACTGGGAATTCTTTACTGAGGGCCATTGTGGGTTTAACTGTGCCCTCTCCCATTGGTATGTGGCGTGAGTCCCCACTCCCATCACCCTAACGTGTGACTCGGTGTAGAGACGGGTCCATAAAGGGTAACTGAGGTCGAATGGGGTCACATGGGGAGCCCTGATCCAGGAAGACTGGTGTCCTTAGAAAAGCAGAGGGCAGGACCCAGGCGTGGGCAGGACCCAGGTGTGGGCACGCAGAGGACAGAGCATGCGGGCACACAGTGAGTTCACAGCTGACTGCAAGCCAAGGAGGGAACCACAGAAGAAACCCTTCAGATCTGACCTCTAGCCTCCAGAATTAGGAGAATGTAGATTTCTTATTGCTTGAGCCACCCAGTCGGTGGGATTTTTGTTGGTTATTTAGTTAGTGTGAGAGACAGAGAAACAGATACAGAGAAAGAGACAGAGACAGACCAAGAAAGACAGGCCAAGACCCTGTCTCTGTCTTTAGCTTTGTCTCCCTCTCCTGTCTCTCTCTTTGAGCCACAGAGGCTGAAAGACAGAGAGGCAGAGACAGAAAGAGACCCTCTCTTTGTCTCTGTCTCTCTGGTGCTCTCTCTCTGTCTATGGCTCAGAGAGACCAAGAGAGACAAAGAACCAGAGACTGAGAGATTGACAGAGAAACTGAGACACACACAGGTGACAATTTCTGACCTCATGCCAATGATTCGTAGGTTACTTTAAGGACATTAATCGGCAGAGGCTGCTCGTTTACAAAATCCATTTATTGCATACTTTTTAATAGCTGGGATCCCAAGTGTGTGTTGATTCACCTAGAGGAAGAAATAGCAATAGCAGTCATTAAGTGCCAGTTTCAGAAGATGACGCCCAGTGTCTTAAAGTTACTGTGACATTGTGACTGCCGTGACTTAAATCATAACACGAGCGTCCTATGCTGAATGCGGCGCGGCGGTGGTCCGGCTCCAGCTCCCTCCTTCACACCCCGCTGTGACAGGCGAGTCCTCAACAGTGTTTTGTGGTAAAGAGGTTGTCCGGCTCCAGCTCCCTCCTTCATGCCCCGCTGTGACAGGTGAGTCCTCAACAGTGTTTTATGGTAAAGAGGTTAAAAAAACGGATGCTTTTCTGAAGGCGATTTCCCAGGGAAGAGAAGGATAATGGCTGCAGGACATTCCAAAACCTAGAAACCAAACCAAACCTCCTGGCAAAGTGCTTGCTGCCTCTGCAGAGCTGGGGGACACGTGGATGAATGCATTTTAGGGAGAGAAGCTGGCAGGAGGCAAGTGATCAAGCCAAGACGTAACATTGCTCCTGGAAAGACAGAAAAAAAGTAGCGAACTATAATATTTAGAGTGTAACACCTTCCTCTGGGCTCTTAGAAATAGGAAATGCAAATATGGCGACAGAGTACCTGCCGTGAGCGCTGCCAGGAGAGGTCAGGCGCCCACGCTAATTCCGGTTGCGCTTGTTTCTCGGCTCGGGCTCGGCACTTTCAGAGTCTCTGGAGCGGCGATTCTGCCTTGGACTGACGTCCGCGCCTTCGGGCTGGTTTCTGTACACGGGAAACAGGGCACGGCATCTTAGCAAGGCGCATCACTCTATGGCGGTTTCTAGGTCCAGTGCTTTGCAAAGATCACAGAAAGTCAGAGCCAGGCACTGAACCCCTTCAGGAATTTGATGCTTCTTGTTAACATGTAAGAAAGCTGCAATCCAAAAAAAAGAAATTGCTCCCATCCCAACCATGAGCCAGATAGTCTAACGAAATCACAGAATCGCTCTTCTCTCAATCCCATCAGAGCTGAGGCTGTACGGGAACCAGGAAAACAAACTTTCAAAGAAACATAAGCCCTTCTGTTATGGGTTGGATGATGGGGTGTCCCCCAAAGTTTCATGTCATGGAACTCCACGGGGAGTTGGTGAGGGCTCCTGGGCAACGCTTGGGTCACAGTGACTGTCGTCATGGGTAGATTAACGATGTCTCGCGAGACCCAGTGAGTTCGGGTTCTAGTGAGACGTTAGATCGCGCTAGACCTGGTCGCTATAAAAAGAGAAAAAAAGGCTGCTTATTTGCGCTCGCTCTGTCTCTCTCTCTCTCCACCATTCTCTGTGCTGATGGCCTGAAAACCACCCCATGTGTATGTGTACCCAAAATCCCAGGAGAGTAGCGCAGAAGGGATTGTGGCATGGACGTCCTCCCCCCCAGGGGATGATTTCTCACTTTTCTTCTCACTGTCTCTTGTCTCTATGCAAACACACACACCCCATGGCAAAAACCTAAAAACAGAACAAAAAAACGCACACTACCTGATTTCAAGACCTATTAGAAAGCTTCAGTAATCAAGAGGATGTTACTGATGGAAAAACAGGCTTCTGGATCCATGGAGAAGGCTAATACCAGCCACAGACCTACACACCCTCAGCTGACTTGCAGTGAAGGTGCCACGGTTATGACGGACAAGGGGTAGTCTCTGCAGTAGGCGGTGTGGGAACAATGGAAGATCCATACGAAAAAGAAACATGAAACCATAATCCATGACTTGGACCATTTGTAGGAATTGATTTGAATCCGTCAGAGACCTAAGTATGAAACCCCAAACGTCTAGGACATAAGAGAAAGTCTCTGTGATCAAAGGTTAGGCAAAAATTTCTTTGGTCAAACACAAAAAGCACACATTAAAAAAAAAAAATCCTATTCTGTATTTCATCAAATTTAAAAACTGCTCTTTGGGACCAGCAGGTGGTGTGGATGTTAATGTGCTGAACTCCCACATGGCTGACCATGGTTCGAGTCTTGGACCTGGTGGCTTGCTTTCTCACTTTCTTTCTCTCTGTCTGTCTCCAGTCCAATTAAAATGAATAAATGAATAAATAATAAAAAATTTAAATAAATTTAAATAAAACCTCTTTGATGAAGCAGCCCCACAGCATAGCAGTTAAGGGAGCTATTGGGCCATCAGGGAAGTCATGATGCATTTTTTGCATAGAAAAACAAGGAAAAACAGACTTTACTGATGACCTAACAGATTCCATATACCCCAAAGTGGTGTGAGTCCTGGCCTTGGTGACGTGAAAAACATGGCCAGCTGCGTGTGTGTGTGTGTGTGCCCAACATCCTGACAGGAAGGAAGAACAGAGGAGAAAGGATTGCAGTGTGACCACCCCTCATTGCGGGTGTCTTCTCTCCCACTTGCCTTGTCTCTGGCGAGCACACAGGCCTTTGTCAATTAAAAAAGAAAAAGAAAAGAAAAAGAAAAATCTCAAGATGCTCTTTGAAAAACATAATAGAAAACCAAAAAGGTAAAAAAGCCACATTGAAAGATCAGAGTGACAACGCTAGTAGGTTTGCATGGCAGCCCTTCCTGAACACAGCTCTCGGCACACATTCAAGGGGACGTGGACAGACAGTGAAAAACATAATAGAAAACCAAAAAGGTAAAAAAGCCACATTGAAAGATCAGAGTGACAACGCTAGTAGGTTTGCATGGCAGCCCTTCCTGGACACAGCCCTCGGCACACATTCGAGGGGACGTGGACAGACATGCCAGCCTGGGCCTAGGGCCTGCAGAGCCAGGGAGAGGCTCAGCTACGTCTGTCTTCCGGAACCATCGTCCTTGCTGTTTCAGGAAAGGTCACCGATGAATAAGAACACTGTCCAAAGGAAGGTCTGAGGCCCACTCTGCCTTTAACCTGCTTAGGTCTCTGTCCACAGAGGTCTGTGAGCTGGGTTAGTCCAGGCCTCTTAAAATTGTTCTTAAAAATTTCTTTCTTCAGAAAGAGGAGGAGAGTGAGGGAGGGAGTAAGGGAGAAGCAGGCATCCCAGCAAGGTCCTCACGTCAGCCCCAGAATCGGCTGGCCCAGATAATGGGTATGCATTCGCATGCACGACTAGCCTGCTCAGGGAGGTCCTGGGCCACGAACCCAGAACCTCTTTATGATAGCTGGAGTTAGTTCAGCTTCTCGTATGTGTAATGTTTTTCATCACATTTGGAAAGTGTTCAACTATTATTCATTTATCTATTCTTTTTGCCTTTTTCTCTTTCTCTTCTTACGGGATTCCCACTAATACATATATTGGTGTGGCTCACAGGTCTCTGAGACAGTTCATTATTCTTCATCCTCCTTTCTTCACCACCCTGGATAATATCCGCTGATTTATCTTCGGATTCACTGATTCCTTCTCCCACCTGGTCAGACCTGCTGTTGAGCCCTTAGTGGATTTTTCATTCCAATGACTGTGCTTTTTAACTGCAGAATTTCTATTTTTCTTTCTAACCATTTCGGTTTTTTTATTTGTATTCTGTATTTGGTGAGACATACGTTCATATACTTTCATTGTTTAGACATGATTTCTTTCAGTTCCTTGAATATATTTAAAATACAACAGTTTCCCCCCCCCCTCATATCCAAGAGGGATACATCCCAAGACCCCCAATAGATCCATGAAACCACCGATTGTGCTGAACCCTATATATACACTTTTTATTACACATACATACTTACGGTAAGGTTTCATTTACAAATGAGGAAGAGTAAAGATTAGCAATGATAACTGAGCTGATGCTAGCAACCTGAGCGTATGAATTTTTTCCTATTGAGAACCTTCACCTTTTCATTTAAAGGAAGCACTTGATGGCTTCCTTGGCATATGCAAATTGCCAGCATGACAGCTCTTGTGTTTGGGGCCGTTATGAAGCGAAAGGGTTACTGGAACACAAGCACTGCAATATACAACCGCTGATCTGATAACCAAGACGACTACCAGGGAACTAGTGGGCAGGGAGCATATGGGGTGTGGATACGCGGGACTAACAGATGATTCACACCCTAGGCGGGATGCCGTGAGATCTCACCACTCTCAGAATGGCACGGTTTAAAGCTTACCAATTATTTATTTGTGAAATTTCCCATCTAATATTTTCAAACCACAGTTGATGGTGGATGACTGAAATGAACACAGAGCAAAACCGTGGATAAGATGGGACTAATGTCGGTAATTTAAAGATGTGTCTAGTAAATCTGACTTCGGAGCTTCACCAAGGATCATTTTATTAGTTGCTTTTTTTTTTTTTTTTTTTAAATAAAATGTGTCTGACCTTGTTCCTTTACAGTCTTCACAATTTTTCTGACGGAAGCTGGACATTTTAAACAGTACAGTGTAGCAACTCTGGAGATCACATTCTTCTTTCAAAGGTTTTTTTTTGTTGTTTGTTGTTATTGTCTTATGACTTTTCTGACCTACCTCTATAAATATGCATCTTTTTGTGCATGGCTCTAATACTGAACCTCTCAGCAAAACTAGTATTTGCCCAAGAACTCCAAGTGTGAGCCTGGGCACATATTCATTCAATGTGTGGTTGATGACTGCCTTAGCCTCTGCTCCCTGCTTGTACAGAGCCTCCTGGTCAGCCAGAGACGAGAGACTAGGACCCGCGAGAGTCTCCTCAGCATGTAAATAATGCTATGCATGAGTGTGATCTTCTCGATTTCAGAGCTGTGCAAAGTCCCCTGAAAATCTTACTCCTCAGCTTCTACTGCTGGTCCTTTTTAAGCAAAATAGTTGTCCCCATTGTTACCTACTTCAGACAGCTGCCAAGTTGGTCAGTTGCCTCTAGTGGTTTTCAACAAAAACCTAGGGAAAAGGCTTTTAGATGAGTTCCAAGTCAGGTCAAGTAAAGAGAGTCTTGCAGGTAGGTTCTTCCAGGGACCCACTGGACAGATGAAATAACAGTTCTCTGGGAGTGAGGTTTGGCGAGAACTCCGGACCTGTTCTGCCTCCTCTGGGGACTGGCCAGGTCGCTGGTCCTCACTGTGGTTGTGGATTGGTGGTTCCTGAGGCCACAGAGAGGTTGGACAGAGGGGTCGAGATCAGCGCAAGGCGAGGCCCCACAAAGCTCACTGCCCTGTGACTTAGCCACTTTTCTTCAATAAATGCTCTCTGGATTGACACTGCCTTCGTTTAATTTTCAGAGCTTTCAAGGAAGTTGATTCTGACCGTTTTTGCAGGTTTTGTCATTGCTTTGATGCAGGATAGAATTTTCAGAGGCCCTTCATACCACCATTTTTGCTGATCTGACTCATCTTTTTTACTCTTTTTAGACTTTTAATTTATATTCTTAATGTCTTAAAACTTCCACATGTCAAATTTTTGGCTTAATATCGTTTATTTGGCTTCTCTCTCTCTCTCTCTCTCTCTTTTTGTAGTTTTAATGGATGTTCCTTCTTAAATTCAGCTTCTTTTCATTTTTCTCCATTACAAAAGATGACGGTTGTAAGTGCATGCAAATGACTTCTTGTGAGGGTAAAATGAAATGCAGATTATCAATAGAGAAAATAATTCATCCTTTTCTACTTTTACAAGACTATTAGAGAAAGCTGTTTCCTAAAAAGTTTTAAAGTACTATGAAATAAAAGAGCCCCTAAAGTAGCAGCCCTTACCCCCTCACAGGCTCATGAAGACACGTGAGCGCTGTCACTAGCGAGTGCATTCACAGCCGGCGCACTCCGGTCGGCCGACGATCACTCGTGCGTGTGTTAACTGAGCACCTCTCACGGGCCAACTGAGCGCTGTACAAGGTACTAAAATTCAAAGTCCAATGAACTTTCTCACTAGTAAGGAGTCAGGTGTTGAGAGCAGAGTGCACCCAGAGCCAAGTGGGGGCTTCTAAACAGAGTTGAGAAGAGAGGAGTGACCACTCCTGTGTCTAGATGGGTTCCAGAAGAGGGAGAGGGCAATTCAGAGAGAAGCAACGGCTTGCGCAGAGGCTCAGAGGCAAGGCAATGTAACTCGGGAGGCAGCTGTGAGTGACTCGGCCTGGCTGGGACAGTGGTGGAGGGGTCAGGTGAGGAGTGAGACCCCACGAGCCAGCCAGGTAGGCTGAGGCCAGGGCTTGAGAGCCGTGGATACCATGGAGCCCGTGAAGGACTGCGCAGAAGAGGACTGGTGCGGACTGGAAATCCGGTGCCTTCACACCTGCTGGCCCCGAAACTCTCCTTCTTTAGAAAGATAGTATTGTTTAATAGTTGAACGCACTGACTTCTGACACTTTGGTGCAATCTGTCACCATTTATTGCTATGTGACACTGTGCTGGAGGGCCACCTCTTTTGGCCTTGGCTTCCTCACTTCAAAATAGGGACAATAGTGCAGCACGGGGACGATGGGATATTTACATGAGGTCACACGTGGGACGTGTTCACTGTGGGGTCCTAGTGCTGTCCTTATAGACCAGTGGGGTGTCATATGAATGTGCTGGAAAGAGGACACGGGGCTGGGACAGCCTAGAGGAGGAACGTTTGACCCAGTGAGGGCCAGAAAAGACTTCTAGAAGGAACTCGAGCTGAGAGTTGAGAACGGGGTCGGTTTGCAAACCAGGAGGAGGAGGAGTTGGAGGGGACACTCTGGGTGGAAGGCCATGCTGTTTGATGTCTCTGTTTTTTTTTTTTTTTTTTTTTTTGGCTGAAGAAGTCTTTGCCTACCTCAGTGTCTCCCAGAATTTCCCCAGTGTTTTCCACCAGTAGTTTTTGAGGTCTTAGGTTTAGATCTTCGATCCACTTTGACTTGCTTTTTGTTAATGGTGACAGATGGGGGTTCAGATTCATCTTTCCGCAGGTGGATACCCAGTTTTTCCAGCACCATTTGCTAAGGAGGTTTTCCTTTTCCCCCTGGACTGACTGGTACCTTTTGTCAAAGATCAGTTGGCTGTATGTTTCGGGATTTATTTCTGGGGACTTTACTCTTCCATTGGTCCGAATGTCTGTTCTTGGGCCAATACCATGCTGCCTTGATCATCACAGCTTTGTAATATATTTTGGGGTCAGGAAGTGAGATGCCCCCCACTCTACGCTTTTTGTGCAGGACTGCTTTGGCAATAGGGGCCTTTCATGATTCCAGATGAATTCTATGGTTGTCTTTTCTAGATCTCTGAAGAATGTCTCTTGTAATTTTATAGGAATTGCATTAAACATGTAGATTAATTGAATGCGTAAGTAATAATAAATTTTAAAAAAGAAATTGCCTGAAAAGGAACTCTGGCAAAGGATATGTTTTTATTTTGTTTTAAAAACTCTGGGGGAGGGGCCGTGAAGAGCAGATGAGATCAGGTGTTCGGATTTAGCAGGTCGATTCTGAGGGATCTTAAAAAACACCCAAGGACTGGGACCAGCAGATGGCGTAATGGCTATGTTGCTGGACTGCCATGAAGTCAACCACGGTCCGAGTCCCGGACCCGGTGGCTTAAACTCACGCCAGGCACGTGTTCGTGCGTGCCCAAGATCCCAAGAGAACAGGGAAAAGGGATTGTGGGGCCGACCTGTGGTCTGAATCCTGGCTCCAGTAGCTTGAGAAACACACAGGGATGTGTGCATGCGTGCCCCAGATCCTGACGGGGCAGAGAAATGGAGGGAAAAGGATCACGCCATGGCCATGCCCTGCTGCAAGGGTGCTCTCTGGCAATAAAATACATATATTTGGGACCAGCAGTTGGCATAATGGCTATGTTGCTGGACTCCCATGTAGTCAACTGTGGTTCGAGTCTCAGACCCAGTGGCTTAAACTCATGCAGGGCACGTGTGCGTGCGTGCCCAAGATCCGGAGAGGAGAATGGAGGAGAAGGGACTGTGGAGTGGACATTCCCCCACTTTCTGTCTGTCTGTCTGTATCTCTGGCGAGTGCACGCACCCTACAGCAAAAACCTCTCCAAAAAAAAAAAATCCAAGAAGAGCCCTCAAGTATGTAATTGGGCACAGGGGTCTGGAGCTCAGGAGAGGTATGGACAAGAGAGAGAAAGGGGAAGAGGTCAGTAATATCAGATGTTAAAAAGACGTCAAGGAGGATAAAGTCCAAGACAGTCTTCCAGAGGGCCAGAAGGTGGCGCTCTGGGGCACTCACGTGGGAGAGTACAGGGTTCATGTCTAGATGCATTAGGAAATGGAGGTGGACCACCGTGTCGGGGTCCCGCTGGTGGTTCTGTATCTCTGTCTCTCTCTGTCTCATGGAAGAAATAAACATTAAAAAAAAAGTCTTTTGGGGGCCAGCAGATAGAAGAGGTTAAGGCAGCAGGATCCCACATGGCTAAGTGTGGTTCGAGTCCTGGACCTGGTGGCCTGAAAAACACTGTGTGTATGTGCGTGGGTGTCTAAGATCCTGAGAGGAGAAAAAAATGAGACAGGCTTACGGTGTGGCCATCCCCCCTCGGGGGGTGCTTTCTCACTTCTTCTGTCTGTGGAGAGTGCATACACGCTATAGCAAAAATTAAAGGAAAAAAAAAGTCTTTAGCAACATGACGACCTTCAACGACTTTAGCAAAAGCTCTTTCAGCAGACTGATGGAGCTGGACGAACATGTTGAAGAGTGAGTGAGAGGGGAAAATTTGCTGAATTCCTATTTCCTTACTAAGAAAGGAAAGAAAGGTACGTGGAAGCTGCAGAGGGAAGAGAGACCGAATGAGGTGCTGATTATTTGGATGCTTGCTGATGGCAGAGATGTGACCATATCGAAAACCCAATGAGGAAGACGGTTGAGAGGAAGAGGTTGCCTGTACCAGAGAGGGGGACAAAGGTCCTGACAGGGGACAGAAATGCCGGAGAAGGGAAATTAGCCTCGGGAGAAGGGACATCCCTTCCTCCCTTCTTATATTAATAAAAGGAGGAAATGAGGACAAAATATGTATCAATACAAATACAGGAAGATTTACATGCTTGGTATGGGGGACGTGAGGATAAACCCATGATGGCTTCCATTTTTCTTTTTAATGAAGGAATGGGGGGTGGTTCTTCACCTCCGCATGGGGCCAGTAAGAACATTTCAAATAACTGTTATAACAAACAGGACAAGGGACCCACCCCCAGAAACGGGGAGAGTGCTAGGGGGTTTTGAGGGCCCACTTGAGATGTGTGACCATGAAATTAATATAACAAGTATTTCCTGGACATACAGAGGTCTACTGCAGAGATGAATAAAAACGGGATGTTTGTTCGTACTGCTAAGTTCTCCCAAACCTACCTAGAACAGGTCCCCTGCAATGCTCCCCTCCCCTGAGGGACTCATGAGAGGTCTGAGGGAAGGAGCGACACTGCATTTATCATACATGAAGCAGCTCTCAAAACTGGCACCGTCTAGAAGAGATGAAATGTCCTAAAAACTCTGAGCCCGTGCTTGAAGCCCATGGGCCGCTGCCCGCTGCCCGCAGGGATAAGGTGCCCTCGCAGGGACACTATCTGGCGGGTGTCCGTGGAGTTACTACACTAGGATTCTCGTTCTAGGCAGACTATACAGAAACAAGTAGTAAACTGGAAATCTTTACTTTGCACGCGGGATTCTTTTCTTAAATCAAAAGTAATAATGTTTTCTGTTTGGAAATCAGCTGTAGAAAAATATAATCTCTTGATGATGAGAACTCACTTATGAGCTGCTTCCCAGGCTTCCTCTTCTTCTAGAAGGTCTCGTATGATGTCTGAGCTGGAACTGAAAGGATACGTACATCAGTATTGGTGGACAGTGCCACTGTGCGGCTCCATTTCTAGAACGTTCTGGATGATGCAGCTAGCCTATAGTGACAGAAAGAAGCCAGCAGGCCAGAGGTTACAAGGTTGGGGGGAGTGGAGGGAAGGAGTAGACAAGGACAGATTACAAAGTGGTATGAGGGGGACCAGCAGCTGGCGTAATGGCTATGTCGCTGGACTCCCATGGTCGACTGTGGTTTGAGTCCTGGACCCGGTGGCTTAAACTCAAGCTGGGCGCGGCGCGTGTGCGTGCATGTCCAAGATCCCGAGAGGAGAAGGGATTGCAGCACGGCCATCCCCCCTGGGGAGGGGGGGGTGATTTCTCGCTTTCTGTCTCTGTCTTTCTGGCAAGCACACGCGCCACATAGCAAAAACCTCTCAAAAACAAAAACAAACAAAACAAAGTGCTAGGAGGAAACTTGGAAACTTAGTGATATTGTCATCATCTTGATCGTGGGGATGGTTTCACATCAGTATACACATGTCAAAATTCATCAAGTTGGAACCAACAGATGGCATGGTAGTGAAGGCAGACGGATCCCACGTGGCCAACTAAGTGGTTCTAATCCTGGACCGAGCAGCTTGAAAAACACACTGGGCGTGAATGCACGTGTGCAGCAAGACCTGAGAGGAGAATGGAGGAGAAGGGATTGTGATGTGGCCCTCTCCTCTAGAGGGCAGGGTGCTTTCTCATTTTCTGTTTCCAGCAAGTACACACACCCTATGGCAAAATTTTTTTTAAATAATAATAAAAAAAATTTATCAAATTGTGTGCTTTATATATTTGTAGTTGAAATACATATCAATTAAATTTCAGTGAAACTATAAAAATCTTAATCAGAGATAATTTTTAAGATCATTGAAGTTTAAATGAATTCTTTAACATAAAACTTAGATGAAGCATGGTCAAAAGCCTTTTCCATTTCCTATGTCAGCCACAGGTTAAATTTTGTTTTAAAAAAAGTGCATTCTACAATAGTAACGAGATCCACCAGAGATGCATGCTCCTAAGTGGCTTTTAGTCCCTTTGTAACCAAAGTGAAGTGCAGTTTAATTTATTTGAACTGTGCTAAATAATGGGATTTGCCACATGCACCCTGGCTTAGACTGCAGTGTATCTGGCATTACCTGTGAGGGGGTGCAAGGTGAGGGTTAGAGAAGCCATGTTATTTCTCCAAAAGAAAAATGCCCAAAGCTTACAGCATCTTGTTCTTAAAGTTTTATTAATTTTTTTTAAATGAGATTTTTGCTATTGGACACATGTGCTCGCCAGAGAGACAGAAAGTGAGAAATCATCCCCCAAGAGAGATGGCTACACCGCAATCCCTTCTCCTCTTGGGATTTTGGGTACGCATGTACACATGCCCTCTCTGAGTTTTAAGTCACCAGGTCCAGGACTCGAACCATGGTCGACTACATGAGAGTCCAGAGATGCAGCCATTAAGTGTCATCTGCTGGTCCTACTTTTTTTTTTTAAAGAATGTGTATATCAGAATGGTATTTAGCGAAATCTAGACATTCTAAGTGTATATATTAGGTTGTTGGGAAAGTCATGACTTTTTTTTGTATTTTGTTTTTCTATACAAAAAAATATGAGTTTCCCGACAACCTAATATTGGGTCATCGGAAAAGTCATGATGCATTTTTGCATAGAAAAATAGGTCATGACTTCCAACAACCCAACAGACTGTCATAGGCACTGTATGGGACAACTCAGGAACAACTGTCACTACCGAGAGAGAGAGAGGACCAAACAAAGGAATACATTCTATTTAGGTGACAAACAATGGCTTGGAAGTGTTAGTGCCAATTATATTTCTTTCTTTTTCTTTTTTAAGAATTGTTATTTATTTTCATTTGACCTGAGAAAGAGAGAGAGAGAGACAGCAAGCAAGCAGGAAAGCGGTTGCCAGGTCCAGGACTCGAACCATAGTCAGCCAGGTAGGAGTCAAGCACCCTTAACCACCACGCCACCTGCCAGCCCCAGTGCCAATTATATTTCTAATGATACTCTATTTAAAAAGTTTAAGACTCATTAAGATCGAACATGCCAATCAATCATTCTCGATCACTCCTGACAAATTCCTCTGAAGCTAAGTTCGCCTCTATGCCTGAACAAGAATGCCACAACAGCCATTAAAACAGTTCTGTACCAATTGTTTCACTCCAGGGCTGCCCCAGGTTCCCAGGACTCTACGGAGCTCTGTGCAGGGCCTCCTCGGATGGTGACTTACATACAAAATGCCCTATATGTGGGGAACCAGGCACACCTGGGGTAGCGGCCTTCTCTGTGTCTAGTGTGACGGTTCCCGGGCATGTCATGAAAAAGAGCTCGTCTGGCAGTGATACTCGTAGAACTTTGGGTTAGGGAATTACAGCATGATAAAGAACTAGCAGAAACTCAGCAAACTTTCAGCTTATATTTTAGGCATTAAGGCGGTCACACATACATTTTTAAAATAGTAGTACAGGGTCAGCAGGTGCCACGGAGGTTAAGGTGCTGGACACACAGCCAAGCATGATTCGAGCCCAGACCTGAGCTTGCTTTCTCACTTTCTCTGTCTTGTAAGGACATATACCCTGTAGCAAATTAAAAAATAATAATAAACAATATTAAATAATTCTTTAAAAAATAGTAGTATATTAAACACTCTTTATTTTGTCTACAACCTGTTTTATCAACTGCTATGGTTTAGATATGGTTTGTCCTCCAGAAGCTCACGTGCTGGACGCTTGGTCCCCAGTGTAATAGTGCTGACAAGCGGGATGTTTAGGAGGCGGGATCTGTGAGTGTCGTTTGGATCATGGGGGCACCAACCTCTAGAATAGCTTAATGCATATCATGGGAGAGGGTGAGCCTTGCGCTTTGGTGAGAATGGGTCAGCTCTCACTGGAGCAGGTTGTTATAAACGTAAGATGACTGCCATGGGCCATTCTCTCTGCACACCCCCAACGTCTTTTCTGCTTCTGTCGGCCATACCGTAAGGTAGCACCAGAGGCAGGCCAGGTGCCAGCTCCGTGTCCTTGGACTTCCCAGTCATCAGAATCCTGAGTCAGATAAGCCTTTTTTCTTTGCAAATCACCTGGCCTCCCTATGCCTTTTAACATTACAACGAACCAGACAGCTATGGGGCCACTGCAATCGTTCCTTCAGGTCCCTGGGTGGGGAAGCCCCGATCCATCCTGTCAGGTAACCAACTCTTCCATTCTCCTCGAACGCAGGGGTCCCTGAGAGCACAACAGTCCCTTATCTCCGTCCTGTTCGCCGTAAACTGCCTTATAACAAGCTTCCCCATAAATGGTAAGCTAAATGTAATTTTTGCAAACAAAGAAGAAAAAGCAGAAAGCCCTGCAGGATGTTAGGCAGATTTCACCAACTTGATCATTTTCCTGAGACCCACACAGCCACTCGCCAGGGAGGCCTTACATTCGCCGCCCCCACTATGGCCACAGTAGTTGTTTATTTATTTATTGGTTATGGGGTGCGTGCACTCACCAGAGAGAGACAGAGATAAAGTGAGAAATCACCCCCCAGGAGGGATGGCCACGCCACAATCCCTTCTCCTCCATTCTCCTCTTGGGATCTTGGGCATGCACACACATGTGCCTGGCATGAGTTTAAGCCACCAGGTCTGGGACTTGAACCGTGGTTGACTGCATGCGAGTCCAGTGACATAGCCTTCACGCCAACTGCTGGTTCCAGTGCCCATAGAAGCAGTTCTAAACTTTCCCATTCACAAGATCCCGACTCTTTCTACCCCTGACTTCAGCGAAATCCACTCCACGTTACCTTTTCATTGCCTTCTCTCTGCTCCAGAGCCGTCCATTCTCCTTTGCCTGGATAGAGCTTAAGATGCTGCTTCTCCACTGTTTCCATCATCATCCCTCTAAGGGAACTTTTTAGACTCTCCTAACAGCTCCCATAGAAATCTCATACCACAAATATGCTTATGTATTGTACGTGCATGTGTGCACATCTGCGCTTTATACATAGAGTAGGACTGGGTCAGCTGGTAGCTGGGTAGCTAGGGTGGGTGCATCCTTATGGCCAACATTACAGTATGAGTCCTGGACCTGGCGGCTTGAGAAACAGGTGCATGTGCGTGCATGCCCAAAATCTCGAGAGAAGAATGGAGAGGGGATTGCGGCATGGCCACCCCCTCTTTGGAGCGGTCTCGGTCTCTCTCTCTCTGGCAAGTGTGCATGCGCTACAGTGAATTTAAAAAGAAAGGGGAAACAAAAGGGTAAGATTTTCCTGCCTCTCCCAGGAACCAATTTTGACCCCCTTAGAGGTGGTAACACTCCTACTGAGAACCTAGGAGCCGGGGGCAATGGGAGCTGGGCGTTGACCAGGTAGCTCTGAGTTCTGGTGGGTGTCCGCTAGAGCAAAACTAACATCAGCTTCTTGCCAACACCCCCCAACACACACTCACACGCCCGCACGCTACGAAGCATCTCCACCCTTCCAGCTAAGTAAGCAGGATGGCTAAGCCTGTCAACGAACCTTGGAGAATCTGTGATCGATTTATCCAGTGGCTTTCAAATCGCCAGCGCAAATCACTGATTTGTTAAAGGAAAATATTTGCGGTCCATTAATGACATAAACCTAAGAGGCTTTTTGCTAAGCTACCTCAGTGCAAACAGATGGTAGAGGAGGTTTACAGAAAGCTCATCTCAGAAGGTGCCTGCAAGCTCCCGTCCCTCTGTGCATTCCCTGTCACCCCCTGCCCAGCTGCACAGCCTCCCCTCTGCTCCACCTCGGCACTCGTGAACCACAACCACATCACTCTGTGCACCGACGCAAGGTTTCGGGGGACTGCAGTTTACCCAAAGTGATGTTTCAGGATTACCCGCTCTATAGCTGCCCTGATTCCAATCGCCACTGAAAAACGGAGAGATTGAAGCTATGAATTAGGATAAGTGTAACTGTTCGTTCCAAAGCTGGCCCACAGTGCAATGGTT